CATTTAATCTCGATGTTTGCTTCCAATCTCATCACGATAACTAAAAGTGGTACCAGATTTCAGGGTGCCGCAGCCACAGCTCGACAAGATGAATCACCAACCAGTCCTACAAACTCCACTAGTCCCGCAGAACCAACCAATCACTCGACAGCAATAAGCCACGGACCTGCCCAGCGGCGTTTAGAACGGTTATTCAATCGAGATGAGCCTTCCCATCAAGCCGATAACGTGATCAGTGATCAGCAACAACAAAGACCGCAATCAATCAGCGATCTGTTTGATCAAAACGGCTATGCGAATATAACAAATGCAGCTGTTGACACTTCGAGATTCTGAAATTACTGCTTCTGAGATCGGTTGAAAGCCCTCTAAGAGGTATCAGCTTCATTGTCGTCGGCATTATCGTTTAGGAATCCCGCTTCAGTCCATCAGTTTGCTATATAGCATAAGGCAAGAGATTTTGAGAAATGCCGTCTGTAAGGGATATAGCGTAGTTATTCAGTTTCTCCAGTTGAAGCAATCGCTTCTCCAAGTGTCGCTCAGTATGCTTCAAAATCAAATTGCTGAAGATATCTCAGCCCAATGTCCATTCATACAGGTGTGTCAAAAGCGTATTCGATGAATGGATCCATCTGTTTGTTTGCGTTTTTGCGAAAGAAAGCAGTTACATCTCGGTTTGCAGTCGATATCCCATCCGCAAAATCTGCAGCTAATCTAAAAATCTTTCGGAACGGACAAAACAAATACCTTCACAGCCGAATACAATTCATTCTGAGCAATAAATGAAAATTTCTGACATCTGATGAAATGAGTTTTCATATAAAACTCAATATTTGTTCAAATTACGCGTGTTCCGATTCGGAATTTATGACAAAACCATTGAGAAGTTACAACGTTGGGAACGTACGCAAACCGAGGGGTGACTGAGCGTTTTTGTATTGTATTATACCGATTATTTGTGCATATCAGCCTATCTAAGCATGCCCTTCTCATGATTTATTTAATTTGGGTATTTAATTAGGAAAACGATGAAGATTTCTTATTTGCGATCAAGGTGATGGCTTATGAAGCATAATATGTTATGTGCCAGTGAACATTATAACATGAACTATTATAATGTCTAGTCGTGAATATTGATGTTTGTGAAAATTGTTTCAGTATATTTATCCGATGAATTTTGTCGCTATTCAATTGTTTATTCACATTCAAATTAATGGCCATTGATGTAGTTTTTCGTTAACGATAAAATGAGTATTCGTCATCATAGCAAAAGAGCAAAAGCAGTCAAACGAATTCATTATTAATTGATTATGAGTACCATCTCCGAACCAAAACTGCCCTCGAGTTTGCCCTGAAGCATGATTGTTTCCTTGCGTGATTGGATTCTCCAGATTCTGTGGTTTCTGATACCTATATGATTCTACAGATTCCGAAAAAAGGCTCCAAAAAATTTAGGGATGGGAATGAGCATAAGGAAATGGTGATGGGGTCTCTGAAATTTCCCGTTGTCCGCACACACTAATATGCTCATCGTTCTCATAAGCCTTGTGATTCGGTGATGCAATAGATATTCTCGCAGGATTGCAGTAATAGATCAGATGTTCCGCCGTTACCCCTCCC